TGACCTTTTGCTAAAGAAAATAAGAAACTCTTGTGTAAGTCTTTCTGCCAGCTCTACTCTGATGGCAGTGCCCTCCAGCAGAAAAACAATCTTGTCTAAAACTTCCACCAATGCTTTCACAAAAGTTATATTAAATAGTCCACAGCTCAGTAAGAGCTCAAAGGCAAGTGGACAAGAATGTCAATTTTTTTCCTTTCAATCCCTAAATTAGAAATGCAGCTATGTCCCACACAGACAGTAGCATGCTTAGACTGTGGAATTCAGGATTGGGGTTTTTATTTTTTGGTTCTGCGCAAGAAATAAAGACTGCAGGCTATGTTGCAGTCTTGTGATTAAGTTGGCAGAGCTAGAAATCACATATGTCATCTCTGTACTGAAAGATCATCCCACCAAGACTTCTGCTGAAAAACTATTCCAGAACCTGAATCTTCTGATTATTAGAAATGTTCTAAATTTCAATCCTAAATTTATTCATAGCTCTTCTCCCTCTTTGGTGATTGCCATCTCACTGCCTGCATACTTACAGGCATCAATCATAATACTATAAAGGACTTTATGTAGAGCAATCCAAAGAAATATGCTTCAGTAGACATGATCTGAAATTGAAAAAAGGGTGGCTTTATCAAGTTTTTTAGTTAAAACACAACTTTGCTGTAATCATCGCCTCCCTGCATTAAAAACAAAAAAGAAAAAAATTAAGATCTGGTGTCAGCTGGTCTATTTGAAGACAAAAATGGAGAGGGTATGCTGATCATTAGTAAAACGTTCATTCTTCAAACTTGTTTACTTTTAATAACACAGAGTTGCTTTAAAAGGACATAGGGCTTTCACATTACCAATCCTTTCCTCTCCAGTAACCAGCATTCATAAGAATAGAACAGTGTGAAAATATTAATTTTTAAATAGGTATTTTATGTATTCTTTGGATATTTTACAACATGCCCTAAAAACCCCCAAAAGACAGCACCTTCTTTTATTTGTTATAAAATGGGATTTTAAATGTCTGGATTTTTAAAATACAAAACTAAAACAGCAAAGAACCTTATAAAAGAATAGTTTGCTGTCTCTGCAATTGCCTTTACAAGTGTCCTACATTGTTATTTTATATGAATAGTGAATTGACAAGAGCTAATGTGCCCAGAAAAATGTAATATGCAAAATGTCTCATTTCTAGAAAGCAATTACTTCTTTAAGGAAAATAGATTTTTAAAAAAATTTTCTTTCCTCAGCTTTTCTCTTTGTTTGAGCTCTACTGCAAGGCCTTAAGTCAAAGAGTGCACAATATGAGGGATATCTCCATACATACAAACACAAACAGCTCAATATCATAAAGTCTCCAACAAAAACCTCTCTTCGTTGTTCATTTTTGGCACTTCTGCATCTAAATATTGGAAATGAAATTAAGAAAAAAACCCAGAATCTATGAAGACTTCAATGATGCTTAAGGAACACCCCTTCCTCTCCTCTCTCCATAGTCAGCATGGAGATCACCAGCCCCAAAATAAGCAGCTGGCTTTTCAATCTTAGGTCTCAGGTTCTGATCCAAAGGCAACTCTAATTTGCTCTCTCTACTCTCTTCCTAGTTAGGACCTACTGCTCTTTCACCTCATAACAAAGATATGTTTGAGCTTATTTAAATAAGAATTCCACTTCACTCCAGGTAGAGCTGTTCCTTTGGAAGACTTATAGCACTTGGATCAATAGACATGTTCATGCATTATACAAAAGATGGTAAAACTTCACAGGACCTAAAAAGAAACTGGTCTTAATATCTGGAATAGGACATGAAAAAGGTAGGGAAGATACGTAGAATACAACTGAAATTATTAAAGGGATTAAAGGGAGAGGCTGCCTTAGGAGATCAGACTCAAAAATTTTCAGCTGGGAGAAGGCAGTGGTGAAACTTGTTCAAGCTTTAAGAAATTGTGAAGGTGGCTATAAGGATGAATATTTTTCATCAAATTTCAGAGTTAGGCTTTAGTGGACTTAAATTAAAACAGCTAAAAAGAACATACTACTTTACAGCGGCTAGTATTTCTGGACTTGCTGCCAAAAGATGTTGTGGAAGCAGACTCCAGCAATAAGTGCAGACAGGAATTGGATAAGTTCATGTACCACTTATCAAGTCCAAAAAAAGGACAGTGAAAGGACTAGGTAAGGATTTACCTTTGTAAGAGCCACAGAAGCTAGGGGAGTACAAAGAAAAAAGTCTGAAGATGGTGGCCAAACTTGTGTGCACTCTGTAAATAGTTTCTCCTACTGCTGCTGTTTCTATTTACTTTCCTGTTTAGAAAAACAGAATTTTGTATAAGCAAAACCTTGAAGACCCCCAAGGGAGGGGAGAGGGCTATAGGTAATGAAAACAAGCACAAAAAATAAACAACAAACAACAAATGATAGAAAGGGAAGAGTTACAGCACTGAAAATACAAAGCTAGGGAACTGGAGAAGGGCATGAAGCAGAGAAACCCTGACATCACTCATCACTTTTGAAGGTTAACCAAGGAGCAGGTGGATGCTGCCCAGTGATGCTCTGCCTGGAGATGTGGGAGAATGATTACATGAATATACACAGGTTCCACTGTCACCAGGATCCTTCCACCCAGCTTCCTTCTTCTGGTAACATGAACAACCAACAGGACCTGGAAACAGGACCTGGAAGCTGTTGATGAGGAGATCCTGGAACTTGAAAGGGTCTTGGTTAGGGAGTATATAAATAAAAAGTGCAGAGGGAAAAGCACAGCAGGAACTTCAATGAGCCTATCTGGAGGAGAGATGGCATTTGATGTACACTCAAAATACCTGATGTATGCTAGGGTCTCTTGCTACTCTCTGAGAAAAAAAGATCCACAGTCCAACTCAGTAGGGCATTTTCCCCACCCATGGATGTTCTTAGGACATTTTTTCCCTCCCTGAGGGGTGTGAATTGTAAAGGCCTCCACAGGTGAAAGTCACTCTTGAGTTACTAGTGCTGTTCAAAAAATGGTATGGTATATTTAGGACAAAAGGAACTTACAGAGTTAGATAAACCTAGGGGCAATTAAAATAGGGTAGCAACTATTTTAAAGAGAGAACTAAAAATTATATGCAACATCTCAGTAAAATTTTATATTTTCATTAAACTGACTGAACAGAAAATTTTGTTTTAAAGTACTATTTCATGTTCATTCCTTGCTGAAATTACTTATCAGTTCAGACAAGGTACTTCCCAGTGGTAAATGAGAATAATGCCTTATTTGCTCTCTTTCAATGATAAATGAGTTTTTCACCATTATTTTTTATTAACTGGAGGATCTGTGAAGGATTCATCATTGGTTTTCAGTTCAGAAACCTCCTTTATTATAAAGATAACGTCATAAGATTAAGTTCATGGGGCACCGATTTTGGTTCTGAATAAAAAGAAATGAAAATGTTTCTAATAAATATCATCTATGTTGTCCATCTTCACTTCTAGCATCTACTAAAAGTCAAATTTGCTGATGAATGAATGGCAATAACTCTAACATGATGCACAGAATTAGATTACCAAATCTGTGCCATGACAAAAGAAAGGTGCTTGTGGCAGAAGTCCTATTTTCTTACTCTTTTCTTAGGGTGTAGTTGAACAAAAAACTGGACACACTCAGACACTACACTGTAGATAGTTTCCTTCACAAAGACATTGCAAAATCATTCCAGCCAATTTCACTAGACTGTAATGTAAGGATCCCAAAGGATTTCCTGAAAACTATCATTGCTAATATTAACTCCTATGTTATCAGCAAAAAAAAAAAGTTTTGAAACAGAGATACCAATATGTATCACAGAGATCCTACTGAAAATTATATCAAGTAACTGAAGTAGGTATAAATCTAGGCTGAAAATGACACAATAGCAAATTTCCAAACCCAGGCACAGATGTAATTGGAATGGGGAAAAGACTATACTTCTTTTATTACACCCTAATCATGGCAGCTTGGGAAACACTGAACTGGGAGGAAGGGAGGGCAGAGAGGGGCAAAGAAGTTTATAGTTTCTGTCTAGAAAATTCAGGAAATGTTGTGTGCTGGATCTCATCCTGGTTCCTGGATGACATAACAAAAGGAAATAAATTAAAAAGAATTAATCAGTTTCGGTAATACTGGATATAGCCTCCCATCCAGCATATTAACTGCAAGAAGCAGCTTGCTGGTTCTATTATGGGAGAGTTCAAATGAAGAGAAATGTTGTGAGTCTCATTCCTTTCTTAAAACTAGGATATGGGATGAATATACATGGTTCTCAAAATTGAGCAAAAAAATTAAGAGCAAAATATCACATTGGAGACTATTCTGTGCTATGTCCTCCACTTACCCCAGCTCCTTAAATTATCATAATTACTGAAGGATTTAAGTTACTTAAGTTACAGTCCAAACATTGCAGGGTCTTGTAGATTGGAAAATGAAAGCTGAATTTTCTCAAAACATTCTTTTTGTGTTGTGTAGATGGTGCAGAGATGCAATAGAGCTTTGGTTTATCTTGCTTCAAAGGCAAACAGTAGCAACTGGAGCAGCAAAAGGCCTTTGAGAGGCAGGTGAATTTGTGAGGTTTGTTGACCATCTTTTCATCTTTGCTATAAGAAATAAAAGAGGAATTACTTCAATAGCAGTCAGATGGCCAAAAGAGGACAAGAGACACTGAATGTGTGGTAATACCTGAAATTGTATACTAAACTATCTCGTATTTGCTTGGTAATGAGAAAAAAATTTGTTGGCGTGCTTTCTCTTTCTCTCTTCCTCTCAGAGTGAAAACAGGATAGAAAAAAGTAACGAAGCTGTGAGGAAATGATTAGTTGATATGTGCTCCACTGCAAACACAGCTCTAGAGAATGTAATTTTTCTAGACAAAAGGTGTGAAAGCATTTCTGTGCTACATTTCAAACTCAGCTCCAATTCACCAGCCTTCTGCACCAATGCTCAGGTCAATGTCATAAATTTCCATTTCAAAATAGCAGCCTGTTTTTCCACTATAATCCTTACGCACCCAGTCTTTCTTCCTTTGCTCCAGTCACTGTGGTAAGCAGAACAAAATACTTGTGTAACTTCAAGCACATGAATAATCCACCAAGGTCAGACCTCAGTACTGTTTCTTCCTTGTTACACTATACTGTGTTTTTTCATGTCTTCAGATTCATTCTATTACAAAGAAAAAAGTAGGCAAAAAGGATGATAAGGGGTTTTTTATGTTGCACATAGCAGAAACTACATTTTGAAATCTCTTCTCTCCTGGGCACAAAGTTCAGAGGCAGTTTTGAAACTCAAGACTCTATTGGGATTGCGTACAACTCTCTGCTTAATAAAATAAATGCAAATATAAATTCTCTTAACATCTGACTTCTGTTCTGTTCATCTGCATGTTTTCTTGTTACTGTTAGAAAAAACCCCAAACCTAACTGCATTGTTTTATCATTCATGCTGAATGCTTTGAAAAAGTAGACTTCAATTTGGGGATTTTCCCTGTTACCCCTGCCCCAAGATTACTCTTGGCCTGTTCTGTAAGAAAAAAAAAAATCTGTGAGGCTGAACTGGAGTAGATACTCAAGAGCAGTAATGTCTTCATTTCCCCTCACACAATACTAATGGTTTTACAAAAAGGTCTGGTTATTTGCTCCAAGTTTTTTCCTAAATCATCAAAAAGTATAATCAGAAAGAGTCTAAATAATGCCAGAATGTTCATGTAGGTTTCCTTCAATTGAGGACTGCTTCAAGAATTCTGGCAGTTGTGCACAAAGTGAATTAACATAAACATTATGTTACTTTCATTGCAATAATAGTTACAATTCAATGTAATCAGTGTAGTGCAGTGATGGAGTAGTGAGTCATTGCTTCAGGAAAATGACCAAGGAGTCTGGAAAAGGCTGACAAACACTGTATTCAATGAAGATTGCCTGCCTTTAGTATATATCAGGAATTAATGAGACCTGTGTCCACTATTAGAATACTAGACAGAGACACTCCACCTTCAAGGTCGTGTTTGCACTGAAGTATTAGTTAGACCAATTCAACCTTACTAGACAGCTCAGTCTGGAGCAGTAAAGCACATCAGCCTTCAGCAAGTTGTTGTCCAACCCCCTCCCTGGTAAATGATACAGAAAAGGCCAGTGCTTCATTACTGCTACTGCAAGAAATAGGAGAGTTAGGGGAAAAAAAAAAGAAAAAGAAAAAGAAAAGCATAGTTCATGGCTTCTAATTAAGTTCAGCCTCCTTGTGGAACCTACTTCTGGGGTGAGGTAATTCAGAGGATCCTCATTTGTACAACAAAATTTTCTCCTAACTCCTTCCCATGCAAGACCTGTTTTTCTCTGCTTCTTTGGGTCTGAATGACTAAGCTTTTCTACAGTCTTTTTTCAATAAAACCTTTTTACTTCCGCCCCAGGAACAGTTAGAATAACTAGCCCTTTGTATTTTAAGTTATTCATTAAAGTTAAATGGCTTTATCTTCAAGCTTGTCCTAGGGCAACTATTATAAGGTTAACCTTTTTATAGCTGTGAATTCAGATAAGTTTCTCAATTTTCTCTGAATCTGGTCAGACACCGGTATGTATGACTACGCCCCTGCTATGGTTCATAGTTGTTGCCTCAATACCTATTTTGATTTCCCAAAGCAGCACTAGACATCAAGGGGCAAAAGGTCACAAGCCATGAAAGGCAGTTTCAGAAATACATGAGTGGATATCATCACTTCTTTTCTTTTTCTTTGGTAAGACAGTGATCCTCAAAACACTGTCCAGATACAACTGGATTATTGTACTTAATATAAGGGTAATAAAAAACCACCAAAACCACACAGACCAAACCCCAAACCCAGTAAGTTCCCTACAGAGCAATCTTACTTAGCAGTCTTTACCCCAGCCACATATTCCCAATGGATCACCATCCCCAAATTTCTCCCAAATCTGGAGTGCTCCTTGGCAGCCTCACATAGAAAGCAGATTGTTTTCTTCTTTAGTTTCTCTTTTCAAATTAGGCTCTTTGAATGCTTTCCTAAAGCTCCTTTCCAAAACAAAGAATATGTGAAGCTCATATTTAAAACCAAGGGACATTTACAGAAATCCACTGGGTACAATTAGGCAAATTAAAACTTAAGCAATTTCTCGTATCCATTGCTATATGTAGTTCTTTGCTTTGGCAGTATGAATTAAACATTGTTAGGTTTAATTACTCAAACCACTACAGAATCATTTGAAAACATGTTGTTGTCTCTTCCACAAGATGGAGTGCAGTGATAATATCTGAGGATTTTCAAATTGAATCAATATGTCATGTCTCCCCTATGCTAGAAAAACCCTTTAAAAACTTTATCCAACCACAGCAAGACAAATCAGAAGCCACTGCGGGGCAGATTAGTTGTGGCTATCTCAGATGAGAGGAGTTCAGAGTGCATCCCAAAAAACAAAGCCCACAGGTTCCTTTAGGTCTTTTCTTTTGCATTCAAAATGAGCAGCAGAACTTAACAGTGACGAGAACCGAACTTAACTGTGATGGCAAACTGCAACCCAAAAATAGAGCTCATACCCACTTGTAAAAGAAAATTTAAGAATAAAGAAATAATTTTACTCAGTCAATAATTTTGTAAAGAAGACAGAAAGAATTGCTTTCCCTCTGCCTTGCAGTTCCCAGCCATAGCCTTGTGGGTGCAGGGCTGCTGAACTCAATCAAGAGTTGAACTCCAAAATCAAAGCAATATCAGCGCTTTGATTAGATGTAGCTGCTAGCATTCTGCTGTCATCCCATCAGCTGTGTGCCTTAGAGAACCATTTGGGAGAACAAGAAGCTTCCTTATTCGCTTCTTTAATGGTCTGAGTCCGCTTTGTGCAGTTGTGATCTGATGTAGAGAGAGATGTGTTTGCTGGCAAGCAGGTAAATGCACTTTGAATAGGGATTGTGAAAGATTCTTCCTTCAGACACCATGCTTTGTGAGAAAAGATAGCTTTCATGTCAATTTGCATCCTTTTATACCCATTTAATATGATATAGTGAGGCTTGGCACTAATACATACTAATATATTAAAACAATTACTTTAAACTACATTAGCTACCCTGAACCATGTAGACTTTGGTCTGAAACGATCATCTATGGCCTTGCCTTTCTCAGAATCAGGAGTCATTCTACTACAGTTTGGAAGTGATATGGCTGCCAATGCCACATACTATGCAACTTTAGCATTGCAACTACATCCTATTTGGAAGATCCTCCTTACCAAATCAGCTGTGTGGACAATGAGGAGACACAACGCCTTGTCTTGGTCCTTAAAAATGAGCTGGAACAACTCTATGTAGTAAAGCCACGCTTAGAAATATTTTAATTTTCCCTTTATGTACACCAGGACTGCAGTACCACTAAGCGCATACCGTATTTACGTCCCTGCCTGGCAGGAGGCTTGGCGCTCCTCTGCATTTGTTAATCCTGCTCCTCAGCATCTTTTACCTGGATTTTTAAGGAGACGCCTGCAACTTTACAGGAACAGCCTGCTCGGCGCTGGGCGATGAGAAATGATACGGGGGGGTTGTGGATCGGCTGAGCCCAGCCTCCGCCGCCCGCGGGAGCGGGCACGGGGGTGGCGCGGCCGCTCCGCCGGGAAGCGCCCACGGCCACCGGGGGCGGCGGGAGCCGCTGGGCCGGAGCGTGGTAGTCGGGCAGGCAGGCAGGCAGGGACGGACGGACGGAGGAAAGCGGGGGAGGCGCTGGCTCGCCTGCCTGCTCCTCGGTCCGCCGGTTCCGCGGCGCTGCCCGGCCAGCGGAGCCGCCGCCGAAGCAAATGGGGAGGCGGCGCTGAGCGGGCTGCCCTCCGCGGGAGTCGGTAGCCGAGGGCAGCGGCGTGGCGGGCGAGCAATGCCCCTCACTTCTCTGTTTGCGCTGCCCTTCCTCCTTCTGCTCCCGCTCCCGGCTCGGAAGCTTTTGTTTTCCCCGGCCGCTGTGATGGCAGGAAACTTCCCGGAGGGATGGGCTCAGGCCGGGCTTGTGCTGCGCTGGGCTCCGCAGGGCTCCGGCCACACCGTGAGGTGAGGCGAGGCGAGCGGCGGCGTCGCGCCGCGGCAGTTCCGCGGGACCGGCTGCTGCTCCGCCCGGCCGAGGGGCGGCGGGACGGGCGGCGGGAGCGCGGAGAGAGTTGTGCTGGGGACCGCGGGGAGCGCCCACGGCTCTGCCGCTTCCCCCGGCCGCGGTCCCACCACCGGGAAGGCGTTCTAGCCCCGGGGATCCGTCCCGTACGCCAGGAACTGCTCGGGGGTCGGCGCCCCGAGGAGGCTGCGTGGGCACCGGGAGCCGGGCGTCTCCTCTCCCGGCGGGGCCGCCGGAGCCGTCGGCGGGCAGCGGGGGCAGGAGCGCTGCCGGAGCCGGGTGGGCGCGCTCGGCCGCGTCCCGGGGCCCGTGGAGCCGCCTGTGGGGGGCTTCCTCCTCCCCCGGCGGCGGTGGGGGCGGCGGGCGGGGGCCGCGCTTCCGGCCGGGTTCCGTCCCGGGAGGTGGCCTGGCTCCCGCCGGCTCCCCGGGATCGGCGCTCCGGGCCGCTGCTTAGAGGCACGGGGGAGCTGGCTGCTTGCTGTCACCTGCTCATCAGGCTGCTGCTTCTGCTCAACTCTTGAAGCCGCCGGTGTCGGTACGGTGTGTGTGTGTCGCTCCTACAAAAAAGAAATAGAAACGTCTCACTTGGTTTTGATTGTTTTTCATCTACTTGAATGTGTGTGTAATTTTTGTTTGGGTATGCCACATGGTGTTCCAAACTTGTTTTGTAAAAGTCAAATACAGTACAGCCTTGTCTGTGTGTATATATATATATATATATACATATATATGTATATAACAAAGCATACAATAAACTTTTTCTTAGCAATTAACAAAAACACTTTTCCAAGCAAACAAGCAAACAGTTGATTTACAGTAAGTTACAGATAGCATGGGAATTTTCAATGGTCAGAGCTAGGCATGGCTGGAAAGTTAGATCCGTGCCCAAGGAGGTTGTTAAACAAAATTGTTCGTCCTTACTGAAATGGATAATGAATGCTTAAGCAGTGGCAAATGGGTTTTACATAATTTTCTCTGGGACATATTGCACATTCTGACATTAGAGCAAAGGCGTCAGAGGTATCAGATTATGAAAAGGGCAGTTTTAAATAGACCATTTCAAGTTAACTGAAAATGTAAAGAAATGTCAGAATTGTTTCAAGATTGGTGACACAGAATACCTGCTTATTGTCAGGTGTCAAATGTGGGGGGTTTGTTGTTTTTGCACAGTTACATGTTATGAAAATGTATTCACCAACGTTGCTGTAGCTCCAGCATAACAGTATAAACCCACTAGTAGTTACATTCTTAGTCTACAGAAGCATATTTGGTAATGATTAGTAATTAGAAGTACAGTAATTTCTAAATAACTTTGCTTTGAAATATCTACTGGCAAATGATCAGCACTCTAAAGTACATTCTCTTAGCTGTTCTACCTTACTCCTCTATTAGAGAGTAGCCTTTCTGTAAGCGTGTATTCTAAATGTATAAAACTTTTTTTTTTAAGTGAGAAAATAAATGAGACTCTGGAAATTACTAGTTCACATGCAATGTCTGCCTACTCAGAGGAAACAGGAAGAAGGCAAGATGAACTCTCCGAGTTTCTAATTTTCTTCTTGCGCACTACAATGCGTAGGTGACTTTTGTCAGGTGCTGCTGATCAGGCATTGCTTGTGTGCTTCATCATTGCATCTGCCACTTTTAAAATATTCCTCTAGGAATAGTAGCAGATAAAGCTTGGAGAGGCTGTGATTGCTTCTCTGCAGTTAATGAAAAGCACCCAAGACCATTTTCTGATTCTGAAGCTAAGTGCTGTGGGTTAGCCCTTGTCAATGCTGTTTAACTCTCTTGCCTTCCAGAACAGGAAATTTGCATGGGAGACCTGTAGCTGCCCTGTGTCAGAAGGATGCTGTGCTGGTGTGTGGCAGCTCAGCAGTCTGTGTGACAGTGAATTCTATTTCCAGGGAGTGATTCCTGGCGTTGCTTGGTTTACTGGTGTGGCCATAGTCTATCTGTAATGTTGTCTATCTGCAGGTAGCCTCCCTTAACTCTGTATTCAATGGTAGTGATTTAATTTCCCTCCATTGAGGATCTCTGGCATTATAAAATGCTGCTTTTCATAATCTGCTGCTTAGAAGTACCAGGACTGCTTTCTTCCTTTTTTCTCTGCTTGTGCATGTGGTTGAAGAGGGAGTAGGTGAAGGCTTGGTGGTTTTCCCAGTTGTCCATAAGGGAAAGGTAAAGAGGGTCAGGAAGAGTCTTATGTGACTTGTTCTGGTTGTCTGGGAATGTACTCCTGAGGCAATGCATGTCCATAAGCAGTCCTGTTGGCTAGATGTGAAGGTCCTTGGCCTGCAGTCACATGGAACTTGCATAATTATTTTGCTATAAGTAGCAAGTTGGGCAGAGCAAGTTGGGTTTGTTGTTTTTTGTTTTGTTTTTTAATGCTTCAAAGGATGTCAGACTTAGTTGTTAAAAGCAAGGTGAGGCAAGAGGAAGTGTATCTATCATCTAGGAAATCCTACTTGTAGTATCCAGAAGTAGGGTTTCAGGTCAAAAATTGTCAGATCATGCTGCCTCTCATAGACATATAAAACACTTTAATAGAATGGTGTACTTTTCATCTCTGTAATTTGTTGTCAATCTTTATTTTGCTAACCTAGATAGTAGCACAGTTTGAACTTGAATAGTGAAATTGTTTAACCATCTCATTTCCAGCTGAGGGCAATACTTAAATACTTATGTAAGTATGTGATGGGACTGGGTTAATGCTCTAAAGTACTTTCCCAAACAGGCAGCTTGGCACAGTGGAATTCCTGTTGATTTCGTTAGAATGAAACCTCATAAAATACAATTCTTAATATTGAGCTAGTTCTGTGTGTAGTTTGGGAGAAAGGTGAGCTATCTTTTTTTTTTCTCCTGGCCTGAGTAAAAGCACTGGTTCAGTAAGGTGTATTACACTTAAACGTATATTGGCGGTATCTTTGGAGTCCCACTGGTTTGAATGGCACTTTGAGAAATCTCTTGCATAACTGTAACCTAATTTACCTCAATCTAGACATTTATTATACACAAGCTGTGTTTAAAAGAATATTATCAAGACCACATAAGCACAGAAGAGTGTGGAAATTTAAAGCTTTGAAGTAGTGATGATGTGGCCTATGGGAACTGTGCCTTCTACTAGCTAGGACCAAATTTTTTTCAGAATGCTTTGCATCTAAAATAAGGCAGTCAAAATTAGTGTCTGGTTATGACTTTTGCATCTCTCCTGGATTTTCTCCTCCTTGTAGTTACTAAAGCAAGGCTTGAATCATGTGTATTAAAAGTGACATGGTGACATACAGTAATTGTGGAGAAAGCAAGGTTTTGAACTCTTGTTCGTCTTGGTGACCTTCTGAAAGAAGATGGATTCTGTGTGGATAAGTAGAATTTAGTCACGTAGTTAAAGCCTGTGTCACAGGGTTTAATTGAAGGCACAGGGTTTGACTGCTACTTCTCAAGTCTTCAGTGCTTGACTTTCGAAACCTAATTTTTTAACATAGTTTTTGGGTGTAGTTTTGGGTGTAATTTTCTAAGTGGGTGTTTTGGTTTTTTTTTTTTTGGTTTTTTTTTTTGTTTTGTTTTGTTTTTGTTGTTGTTGTTTTTTGTTTGTTTTGGTTTGGGTTTTTTTTTTTTTTTTAACCCTTAAAGGAAATAGAAGCAAAATATGTATTTTTTTTTCCTCCGGTATCTTTGATCATTTCTGATATCATTAGCAAAGTGAGAACCTCTAAATGCCAGCTCAGGCTGTAACTGTCTAAAATGTGGTAGGTCATGATCCATAGGTGGATTGACAATTAAGAGAGATAGCAGCCTTTATACACTTGTTATGAAATAACCCTCCTAATTTTCATGTAATATAATATAACTGACTTGAAGCTTTGATGCCCAGTTCCAATTCTGTTGGCCACCCATTCGCTGGGTGATTCTGTCTGGTGACTTTACTGTTGTTTTACCTGCAATATTCTACTTCCCTGTTTCTTCCTGGGCTATCTTATTGCCCTGCTGTTTTCTATATTTTTCTGACACATCCTTTTCTTTGTTGATTTAATAAATTGTAGTTGCTAGTGACTTCATTTGGCCAGTGTGACTATTTTGTCCTAATCTAGTGTGCAGCCCTCTAGTTGCATGGGTCAGGTCAGCTGGCCAAGCAGATCAGGTTTAGAAAGCAAAGAGGAAACTGGCTTTCAGATCCAGTACTTGGCTTTTGCAGGCTGTAGTGAGGAAATAATCGCTGTTGTAACCTAGGTGAACTGAGGCTGGGGCAGAGAACTACAGAATAATTGAAATTGGAAGAGGCCTCTGGAGGTCATGTAGGCCACCTCTCTGCTCAGAGATGAGTCCGGTTGAAAGTTAGATGAGGTTGCTCAGGGTCACGTCCACTTGAGTGTTGAAAATCACAAAGGATGGAAGCTGTACAGCCTGTGTGAGTAACCTGTTCCAGTGTTTGACCACTGTGACTCTGAAGTTTTTCCCCTAAGGCCTAATTGAAGTTACCATACTGTAGCTTGTGTCGATTGTCCTGGTTCTTTGCTGTGAACCTCCAAGAAGAATGAGGT